GGTGATGATGAAGGTGTGTTTGTTTTATGGACCAGGGGGTGATGATGAAGGTGTGTTTGTTTTATGGACCAGGGGGTGATGATGAAGGTGTGTTTGTTTTATGGACCAGGGGGTGATGATGAAGGTGTGTTTGTTTTATGGACCAGGGGGTGATGATGAAGGTGTGTTTGTTTTATGGACCAGGGGGTGATGATGAAGGTGATTCTTATATGCATTTGTTTTGTTCACCTGAACATGTTTCCCAGCCTCTGATTGGGTGCGTTTGTTTCAGGTACCTGGAGGTGGAGTGGGCGGTGCGTAAAGGCACAGAGCGCTCCTTCGGGAAGGAGGTGATGAAAGGTTCAAGTCCTCGTGTTCCTCAGCAGGACAACTTCAGCGACTGTGGAGTTTACGTCCTGCAGTACGTGGAGAGCTTCTTCCAGGTCCGACGCTCTCTCTCTCTTCCTTTGACCTCTGACCCCCTCACCCAGTCTGACTGTGCATGCTTCTCCTTCTCCTCCTAATGTAAACTATGAGCTCTTTCCTCTGACGTTCTCGTCCTCGTGTTCTTCCTGTCTCGGAGCAGAACCCCATCAGGAACTTCCAGCTGCCTCTGAACCTGGGCGACTGGTTTCCTCAGCAGAGAATGAGGAGGAAGCGTGAGGAGATCAGGGAGCTGATCCTGGAGATCCAGACTCAGCAGGAGCAGCAGCAGGAGCTCCAGGGAGAGGAGGGGCCCAGGGCGGGGCCTGTGCAGACCCCGCCCACATTCCCACAGGAACCAGACCTTGAAGAAACACCTGACGTGACGACGAGTCAGACGCCTAGTTTAGCTGTTGGGCCCTGAGTTGGCCCCGCCCACAGACTCCGCCCACTGAGAGACTGAATGAAAGAGGAAGTGGAAAGTGTAGTGAGACCTGGACCAACTGTTAACTTATCTCTGTCCTCCTGTCCTTGTCTCACCTCCTCCTCCTCCTCCTCAGAAGAAGAAGAAGAAGAAGAAGAAACAGTAAACACACCTTTTTTTGTTTTTTTTGTTTTTTTTTTATTCACCAAACAGGTGAAATGCGCCACCTCCTGGTCAGTCCTTCAGGTTCTCCTCTGTGTTGACCTTTGGTTTCTCATCTTGGTGTGTGTTTTATTTATGAATAAAGGCACAGTTCAGTTTTTCTAAAGTCTGTTTCTGTCGCCTTTAATCACCAGACAACAGAACCAACAGAACCAACAGAACCTTCTGGAGAAGCTCACACAAAATACTTGGTTAAATTAAGGTTCAAATCAAGTTGATATTACCAACAACACAGTTAGCACTGTAGCTAACAGTTAGCACTGTAGCTGATGAACTTGTTTTATTTATTGTGTTGTATTTTTTTCACACCGTGATACTGTGGATGGTGCTCTTGCCTAACAGAAAGGTCAATGGTTCGATCCCCAGCTCCGTTCTCGTTTCTTTGTTATTGTTTGTCTTCTTTTCTTCAATGATTTATTGTTATTTTTACTGTTAATAAATTTTAAATTCTGTTTCATTTAAATGACTGATGGAGAAGGTTCGAAGGTCAGAACCAGTGGAAACTAAACGACAGTGAAGTGTCTTTGTTCTCTGTTCACTTGAATGAAGGTCCAGACCACTTTACACACAGAACACACACAATTTTATAAATGAAATAATGAATCGGTGTGTTTTGTGGTCATATAGCGCCATCTACAGGCCGCTCCCACCCTGCGCCTCCTGATGACGTCACGGGGCTCCTTCCCGGTCTGGCTGCCGGAGTCGGAGGCAGGAGGGCGGGGAGAGCTGAGTTCAGGCTGCCGGAGAGACAGGGAGCAGGAGGCAGCAGCGGCCGCTCCTTCAGGAACACCTTCTTATTATTTATGTCTCTGCTTTAATTTAATTCTCCTCCGACGCTCCAGGACTCCCGGGACTTCCGCAGACAGGTGAGTTTCTCCGGCGGCGGACAGCGGGGCTGAGTCGCCGCTGTAGCCGCAGATGTTAGCTAGCTGACGGCTACAGCGCTGAGCAGCCGCCGCTGCGGTTTTTAAACTCCCACAGGGATCAGGCAGGAAGTAAGAGCAGCCCGGCAGGTGTTTGATTTCTGACAATCCTCCAGCAGACAACAGGCTCCTGATATCTTACACAGTTTTCACCAAACTCCAGCCTGTGTGGCTTCTCCACCCCCTCCAGCTTTGTTTGGAGGCGGCGGCGACACCAGACTCCCTTTAGATTATTGACCATTCCACATTCCCGATAATATTTTATTGCGTGTCCGCCAGAAAACGACGTTTACTGTACATTCTGAGCAGCTCGGGGGAAATGCTAGTATTCGTCCTACATTTGCTGCCTGTGACTTGTCATGTTTTTACAATTTAAACGAAAACATGTTTCTTTGGCTGCTTTGTCTGAAAGAGTTGCGCGTCCACGAACACGGCTGAAATAACACAAAAACAATGTTTAAAAGTTGGACTTTTTGTTCCTGGAGGATTATCACTCACGCCGAATCGTGGACTATAGTCAGAGGAAACAGGAAATGGTAATGATTTACAGAGAACACTGAAGGCTAGTGACGTCACGGCGAGGCGAACCTAGATTTTAGCCTTTTCCAAGGAAGTTTCTGTTCGGCAGCCAGTATTTGTGTGTAGCCGGTAGGAACGTCAGAGGATTCAGTGGTGCGTTCATGACACGGGGGTGGGGTGGGGGGGTTGTTGTGCTCCAACATGTCATGCGCAAGTGCACGCAAACGCGCACGCTCCTGCCCCTGTTGAGAACAAAAATGAATGGAAATGTTTTGGATAAGAAAAAAGCACGAGGATGATGAAGATGAAGAGTCTGCTCCAGAACCCACTGAGCTGCTGTCTGATTTAATAGAGGGGAGATTGAAAAGTTTCTCTGTTCCCATGATGCTCTGGGAGTCACCGTCAGCCAATGACAGTTGGGCTGTGAGCGCCCCCTGAGGACACAACCGTAAAATCATTGATTTTCTTCAATGGACGTACACTTTAGGACAGTGTCTCACCCACTCACCCTCACCTCACCCACTCACCCTCGCCTCACCCACTCACCCTCACCCACTCACCCTCACCCACTCACCCTCGCCTCACCCACTCACCCTCACCTCACCCACCCACCCTCACCCCACCCACTCACCCTCTCCCCCCCCACTCCCCCCCACCCCCCCA